AAAATAAAATTTAAAAATATAGTATTAGGACAAATACGCGATTTTTTTCTTCAAGGAATTTGGACATGGAAGTAGCTGACTTTCTCAACTTCCTTCCCTTCTACTGCTTCCTTCCCTTGCTAAGTTATCTGTCATTTTAACCTACTTACCACCTTCTCATCCACAGAGAAAGAAATGTCCTTAGTCATTTCTGAGATTTCCAGACTCTCCACGTGCTGGGTCCCACTGCCGCTCACATTTTCCATGACCTCGCTCCACCTACTATTTTCATCTTCTCTTACACTTGCAGTCTCATTCTCCTCTGAACCCTTTCCCCACACCTAAAAAACATGCTTAAGTTTTCCCCATCCTATACACAAATGAACCTTAGCTCAACTTTTCATCCTGTTTCATCACTTTCCTTCCTTTCAGTGACGTAAGAGTAATTTGTACTCCTCAATAGTAATTTCTAATCATTACCCTTACTTAATAACCCTCACCTACCACTTTAATCCAATTTCTGTCCCCCACAAACTACTCTCTCTCAACAATCATCAACTGACGGATATGCCAAATTTAAAAGCCTATTCTCCAGGGTCACCCTTCTTATTCTCGTCACAGAATTTGACAATCTTTATCATCCCCTCCTTGAAATCTAATCTTTCTTCCGGCTTTCTCAACACTATTCTACCGTTTCTCCTTCCTTTGTCAGGCTCCTTCACTGGCTTTTAACTTTCAACCCTTAAAATGCTTGTTTTCTCCCGGAGTTCTAGCCTCAGGATTCTCCCCATCATCTTATCCATTCTGATCATTTCAAGCATCGCCCACATGCAAATGCTTAGCATGAAGTACATGGTAAGTGAATGTTTACTGAACTGAAATCAATGAGTCCCAATTTTTTTGCCCCTAATTCAAACTGCACCCCTGAGTTCTAAAAACTGTATCTGCCAGTCTAAGAAATTGCCTGGATTTCCTGAGAGCACAAACTAAACATGTCTAAAACTTCATTCACTTTCTTTTCACAAGCTTGCATTCCCTCCTGTGTTGCTTTTCAGAATTAGTACCACCTACCAACCAATTATCCTGAACTGCCTTTCTCAGTCCCTGTGTCTAAAAGGTTACCACTCTCTCCTCACTCTCTTTTATCCTTGCCATTTCCACTTCCATAGCACCTAAGCTCAAATGCTTGATGCCTTAGTTACTATCCTACAGTCTCTCCCATCTCAAATTCATGTTCTACTCCTCCTAAGTAACTATAAATGCTACACATCTTAAGAATGTAAATACTACTACCGCTACAAATTACCCCAAATGTCCAAACCCTTGGATGATGAGGATGATAAAGATATGAAAATAGCTAATACTGGGAGATTTCTATAACCACACAGAGATTAAAAGGATTTTATCCTTCTAATAATCCTCTACTGTAAACACTACTAGTATCCTCTTCTTTTTTGGTGGGGGGGGGGGAGAGGAGAGGAGCAAAGGGAAAGGGAGAGAGGGAATCTTAAGCAGGCTCCACGCCCAGTGCAGAGCCCCAACATGGGGCTCAATCTCACAACCCTGAGATCATGACCTGAGCTGAAACCAAGAGTGGGATGCTTAACCAAATGAGCCACCCAGGTGCCCCTGTAATGAGTTTTCAAACTATTTTTCTTTGGTGTTTCTAGTGCCTGCTTTTCAAATTTGGAGCACAGCAAAAATCACAGGCGGGTGTGGTGGGGGGACTTTTAAAGTCTACATTTTTAGCAAGGACCCTAAGTAATTCTGAGGAACCACAGACCACACTTGCGCTCCAGTTCTGGATGCTCACAAGCAATGTTCTCTCCAACCTGAAATTTCATACAACCATGAAAACTAAGCCTACACTGGCAATTTATGTTACATCCACTAAAACTAGAAGCAAAACTAATATGATACAATATCTAACTTTTATACTGAGGTACTGTGCTGAGTATTTTTCAATTTCCTTTCATTTAATTCTTACCACCATATGAAGTAGATATCGTCACCACCTATTTTACAGATAAGAAAGTTAAGGGTTAGAAAGTTATTCACATTCCCATATCACATGGCTCCTAAGTGGTGGAAAACAGATATTAAACCCAGACTGTCTATCCAAAGCCTATGCTAATATGCCACCTCTCCATTTGTAATATGCCTATTTGACATTTTAAGACAAAAGGAGGGAAAGCACAAAAACAAACCTCACCTTCTTCCCCATTTTATCTACAGTTAACATTGTTGCCTAGTTACCTTCTCTAAGCATTTCTCAGTTCCTAATAGCAAACCAGTTTGCCATGGAGATGGCAGGCACTGAAGGTGAGAAGTTTAAAATATGTCAGGGATAGGTGCCTGGATGACTTTATAGTAGGCAAGAGAAGGAAGTTCTGGATTAACAAATGATTACCTTTAACCCTGGGGGAATAAAGCAACTGGATAGGGATGCGGCAGAATAGGGATGCCCCTCTAAAGATTCTGAGACCTCAACTCAGAGGCATTCGGGCCTAACAAAGGTTAGGGCATCCAGCTCATTTAACAGACACCCTGAAGTTGGCAGCCTTATCTAGAGGGTCCCTGGAATTTGAGTCATATGAGGTTTACAGAACTACAGACCCTTCCCCTCTACCAGTCAAGATTTCTACATTTCACTGAGGCTGGAAACTGGTGATCATTTTCCTTTAATCAAAATGGGAGTCCCAGTGATTAAAAAGATTGTCCTTTTTCCCTCTTCTCTCCTTCCAGATTTAGTCTGAAGAAAACAGCAAATTATCTTGTTTGTGTTATGAAGACTTGAAATCTGAAATCTGAAAGTCCTACTCTGCCACTAGAGTGAAACAAGACATTCCTGGGAAGGAAGCTATCAGCCATCCACTTCAGTGTAACTTAATGACAGGCACTATTTCTTTCACATCTAGTTGAGCGTGCTGCACTAGAGGGAAAAGTTTTTATTTTCTGGGTTTTTGTTTTTTGATTTTGGTGGGGAGACTTGGGGGAAGCTTTTGAGAAGGGTTAATTTTACAGCTTAAATGTAATGACAGATCTGAGAGAAAGGAGCTTTGGGAAACACGAAGATTGGGCAAATGAGGAGACCGAGATCCCAGAAAATAGAGTCCTAAAGAGCAGAAGAAAAGAACACCTTCCTCCACTTTTTGCCAATACTTAATTTAACCGTGCTCTCCTCAGGTTGCTGCTCTGCTTTAAGGGGCACACAGTTGAGAGGGTAGCCACATTCTGTTATCAGACTGGGGTCACCACCTCCTCCTTCCCCTTCCACTTTCCACACTATGCGGCCTCCAGAAGGCTGAAGGCAAACTGAAGTAATTATGTTCACCAGATACATCTGAGTCGCTTCAAACCCTAAGCACGTGTAATTTTGCTATGTTATATATATCCAGGTTCTATCTTACATATCATGAAGCTACCTTCTTAATATAAAAGGCATGGTTTTGAAGTACCACCCAGCAGAATTCAAATTATCAATTTTACCACTTGTTACTTAACCTCTCTAAAACCTACCATGAGAGTTAAAATGAGATCTTGTAGGTAAATCACCAAACGTACAGCAGGAGCTCAGTAAAGTGATAACTATTATTTGAGGGGGAGGAGGATTCTAGTACTTTTAACAATAGAAGTGAAAAAAATTGCATTTTCAAAATGTTTAAAACAGTATTCTTTTTCTAATTAGAAAACACTATTGATCATTTTCCAGGGCAATCTCTCTAAAAAACGTATCCATTGTCTAAAACCTTTGATAAAATAAACAGTAAGAAAGATTCATCCTGCTCCTTGCGTTTCTGAAGGGACCCTTGAAATCACTTAACAATCTCTTTTATTTGGTTGAGAAGTACTGTACTAAGTTTCCTGAAATTTCCAGTAATTCTGCCTGAAAGACTCTAAAGAAATTCTCTAGACAAGGGAAAGACAAAGGTAAATGTCTGTAGTATTACTGCATAAACTAAAAACCACCCATTTCTTTTTTTTTTTTCAGTAGATTCTAAAACGAAGGCAATCAGATGACAAATCTTAACGCTCCACTTTCACAATTTGAATTTCTTTTTGAGTAGTCTTTATGAATGACTCCAGGGGAACCCAACAGCTCCATTCAGAACCTTTTCCAAGAAAGCTCCCAAGTACATAGAAAAACAACAGGGTTTTTTGGTCCCTAAAATAGTAACAAGGAGACAATCGGTGGATTTTTCTTTAATAAAATAAATCGTTTTACATCTAAACAATATGAGAATTTCATTTTTTTAAGATTTCATTTATTTGACAGAGAGTTAGCGAGAGAGGGAACACAAGCAGGGGGAGTGGGAGAGGGGGAAGCAGGCTTCCCGCCGAGCAGGGAGCCCGAGGCGGGGCTCGATCCCAACCTGAGCTGAAGGCAGACGCTTAACGATTGAGCCACCCAGGCGCCCTCACTATCAGTATTTCAGAGAGACACCCAGACTCTAAGATAAAGCCCATAAACCTTCCAAAGGCATCTTCCTTAACTTCTTGCTACCGACTTATCAAGCCTTAGGAAATGCTAACACGCTCCCAGCCTCACGTCTCTTCAGGGATCCAAATCTGCTATGCTAATGAATTCGATCTTTACAATCTGAAACTGTTCTACGGAAGAGAAATACTTAGCAGCAGACATGTGCTATATTAACATTAACCATGTCACTTAAAGTGACAAACCACTCCTACCCTCACCCCCAAGGGAGGGTAAGCAGTAACCGGTCGGTGCCCAGAATCCCAGGTTTATCATTAACAAGTCTCAGCCCAACTACAAGGTTAGCGGCTGCACCTGCACTGTGCTGGACCCGCGCAAGGTCGGCAAAGCAATGAATGAGACCAACAGGGAGCGGTGGAGAGGGCTCCGGGCTCGCCGGGGAAGGCGGCACCGCACCACCCGGGCCCCGCCCCGGCCCCGCCCCCGGCCGCCCCGCTCCCCGGTAGCGCCGCAGTCCACGCGCGAAAGCAGCGCGCGCCCGGGACCTCTTCCCGCCGCCTTCCCCTCGCCGCGCAGCACGTACCTGCTTTGCAAACCGGGGCGCTTGGGCTCCTCCTCTCCGGGGAACTACGGCTCTGCTCCGGGGACCTTCTCCGGTGCCGGACGCGGGATGGGGGTGGGGCTGCGCTCACCTCGCCAGTCCACAGGTGGGTGGGCGACGAGCAAGGCGACGACACGGTGCCCAGCAGCGGCGGCGGGGGCTGGGGCCGTGGGGGGCTCCCGCGAGCCCCGGGCGCGGCGCCGCGCGTGGGGCTGGTGCCTCGCGTGGACGTCGCGGACGCGCCCGTCTGCGTGGCCACTGTGGGGCTGGTGCGCGCGGCCGCACTCCCGCCGCCGCGCGTGGGGCTCGTGCTGCGCGAGGCGGTGCGCGGGCCTCCGCCGCCGCCGCCGCCGCCGCCGCCTGAGGGGCCTGAGGCGCCACCACAGCAGCCGCCGTTGTTGCCGCCGCCGCCGCCGTTGCTCCGCGTGGGGCTGCCATGTTGCTGCTGCTGCTTCAGCTGGAACGGAACCGTCGCCCTCATGGGTTGTAGGCGGCTCCCGGCTCCCCCGGCCGTGGCGACCGTACCGCCCCCGAGGGAGCCGGCCGGCGTGGGGGACCCATTGCGCCTCACCCGCTGGGACATGGTCCCCCCCTCCCCGGTGACTGGGCGAGACGGGGGGGGTTGTTGTTGTTGGGTTGCAGGGGTTGGATTCTCGAGGCCGAAGGGAAGGTCCCTGCGACGGGGTGACGAAGCCGGAATCCGGGGAGCAGGGGGCGCCCGGGCCGCGGCCGGCAGCAACGAGGTGGTGCAGCCGCCGCCGCCGCTCCTCCTCATCAACAATAGTGTCTCCTCCGCTGCCCCCGCCCCCCGCGAACGCCCATTGGTGTAGCGTCAGCCGCGCTCGAGCCACTCCACCGCGCCCATTGGCTGCTAGCAGCTCGGGTCCCGGGCCCCCGGGGCCTTAGAGAGCCTGGGTTTGCGCGGAGACCGTCTGCTCTTTAAAGAGAAAGAGACCCCGCCCCCCGGGGAAGGGGGAGCGGAGGAAACAGGCTGTGTGTATGTGTAATGTGTGCGCGCGCGCGTGTGTATGTGTACACGTGAATGTACGCGTACGCGCGCCTGGCCACGCGCGTCTTTCCCTTCCCACTGGGGGGAGCCCTGGGGACTCAGACTCTGGAATGTTGTGAAAGGAAATGTCCTGAACGAGAGCGGTCCCCAAGGATGTCTCAAGTCTTTTCCCCATAACTCACTTCCTTACCTCAGTTTGAACGCACAGAGGATATGTAAGTTCATCTCTTTCTGTTCTGTCCTAATTCCGTCAACGTTTGGACAGAGCTCAAAGAAGAAATTTAATTAATCTTGTTGGCATTTTACACCTCGTTTCCTTTTTTTTTTTTGGTTCAAATCTCTACAAAGAGCCAAATCTCAGAAAAATTAAAATTGCTTGTTAGAATGTGGTTTTAGATCCTATCTATGAAGTCCAGTTACCAAGTGCTTTCGCCACCTTCCTGTATCTCAAGTCATCAAGAATTTACTTTAATCAGCTACTTCACAGTTCCTTGATACTTTGGAAAGATGTGTGCTAGCTTACAAGTTTGTAAAGTGCCATAGTTTGCAAAGGGATTTATTTGATACATCGTAATTTGAGACAGAACTGGACCAGCCATTCATATTTTTGTCTAATGAAGGAAACAGGTCTTTGTAGTATGGGCAAGGACTTAGGAAGACAGGCAGTAACACTAGTCTAAAATAATCTTAGGAGCTCCTTATCAAGACCAAAAGAAAGGTAGACCCATACAGCACATATTGACTTCTCTGGCTACAAATTGCCTGTCCATGACCTCTTTTTACTAGGTTATTAGATGTACATTCTAAACAGACTTCGTCTTGTAAAAATGTGAGAGTGGAGGGCACAGTATGATTCACTCTGGACCTGAAATTATACTGGGACCCTCTGCACTGTGGAGGAAAGCCTTCGAAGACCCCAGACCCACCACTTACTCTGTAACCTTAGATAGATCACTAGCCAGTTTCCTTATCTGTAAAATGCAGAACCATCTCCTTCATACAATTATGATTGTTAACCAAGGGTTAAAGGAGAATACAGTGTGTAGAAGATACTCAGTTATTCCAGAGTCTCAGTGTGATTCAGAGGCCCACATCTCTCCTTATCACCCATTCCTCCTCTCTCCCCCACCACTAAAAGGACCCCAAAACCTTGACCCATGAGCCTGCCTTAAGTTGGCTGGTGCTCTGGATAGATCTGACATCACTACCCATCCCAACAACCTGTGGTAAGATAAAAACAGTGCTCATGAGACAGGACACACAGGAAACTGCCTACAAGATCCACACAGATAGTGAAGTCCCATCTTAAAACTGAGTAAGAAAATAAACCTTTAAATAAAGATGTCATGGACACTGTATATGACACTTCTGTCCTGCACAAAGCAGGAGCTCAATACATACTTAACTGAATTAAACTGAGGGAGTTCAGCAGCCCTCATGTTTGGGCCTTCCTGATTAATTTTCTTTTCCTGATGAGTTCGAGATTATATTTTTGCCTACCCTTTTAATTCATCCCTCCATCCTCAGTGTGTTTATTTTTTTTAATTAAAAATTTTTTGAGTATAGTTAATACGCAATGTTATATTATTTCAGGTGTGCCTTATCAATTACTTTTGATGTCACCAAACCAGAGAGCTATTTGTAGGGGCAAGAGACTTTTAGCTTTTCTGAGCTACTGTGCTGATTTCAGCACATAATTTCATTAGATCAAAGAGTTAAAGTGTCCTTGGCTCAATCATGAGTTCACCTTCTGCTTCTAGTCGTGTTTCTTATAGAAAAAACTCTATAGTTCCAGAAAATGTCCTTAGGATGTCATTCAAGTTATGTATGAAGTTGAAAGAGCATCATATTGAAATTGGTTTATCTGTGTTTAAACTCCAGAAGACAACATTACTGATAGGCTCATTTGCTTCTGTGTTTCCTTAACTCTTTAAAGTGATCTTATTGGGGTGCCTGTGTGGCACAGTAGGCCAAGTGCCCAACTCCTGATCTCAGGGTCATGAGTTTGAGCCCCACGTTAGGCCCCATGACCTGTTGGGCCCCATGTATGTTGGGCTCCATGCGGGGTATGGGACCTACTTTAAAAAAAATAAAAAATAAGTAATCTTGTTATAGTAAAGGAGGGTGGATTCTGAGAAAAAGTTTATCTTCCTATAGTTTTTTTCTTCTTATAGTTTTAATAGAGTCAGCCATATCCTTTTATAAATCTCTAAAATGTCATCTAATGGAACCTTATACAGCCACTAAAATGATAATTATGAAGTCATAAATTCCTTTCACTTTTAAAATGGAAAAAATAAAATGCATCCATTATAACTGCAATAATACAAATTTGTGCATTATAAACATATATTGAAGGATAAAATACTAATATGAAAATAAAATAGTCATTTTTAACGTGGAATTTGAGGAGGTGTTTCTTTCCCTAAGAAATACTGATACAGGGCGCCTGGGTGGCTCAGATGGTTAAGCATCTGCCTTCGGCTCAGGTCACAATCCCAGAGTCCTGGGATCGAGTCCCACATCGGGCTCCCTGCTCCTTGGGAGCCTGCTTCTCCCTCTGCCTCTCTCTCTCTCTCTGTCTCTCATGAATAAATAAATAAAATCTTTAAAAAAAAAAAAGAAATACTAATACAATTTAAAAAAAAAGAAATACTGATACAATAGCCCTGCTTATCTATGGTTTTGCTTTCCATGGTTTCAGTTACCAACAGTCAGCCTCAGTCTGAAAGCAGATGATCCCACTTCTGACAAATAGTCAGAGGTCAATATTAACCTTACTCTATGTCACAATGCCTATGACATCCATGTCACTTCATCTCATCTTGTAGGCATTTCATTTCACATCATCACAAGAAGTGTGAGTACAGTCCATTTTGAGAGAGAGACCACGTTCATATAACTTTTACTGCAGTATATTCTATTTTATTACAAGTTACTGTTGTTAATCTCTTACTTTGCCTAATTTATAAATTAAACTTTATCATAAGTATGTATGTATGGGAAAAAACATATTGTACATAAGGTTTGATACTATCTGCAGTTTTAGTCATCCACTGGGGGTCTTGGAGTGTATCCCCCTTGGTGAAGAGGAGACTACTGTATACAATTTCCTAATGAAGGAGGAGAGTTATCAGAACTTAAGTTGCTGAGTGATGTTCTGTACTCAAAATCTGACTGCTACTTCACTGAGACTTTTGTCTAAGACCATTTCTTCTATTTTTTTTAAGATTTTATTTATTTGTCAGAGAGAGAGAGAGCACAGCAGGGGGAGTGGTAGGCAGAGGGAGAAGCAGGCTCCCCGCTGAGCAAGGAACCCTTTGCAGGACTCGATCCCAGGACTCTGGGATCATGACCTGAGCCGAAGGCAGACGCTTAACCGATTGAGCCACCCAGGCGTCCCTATCTAAGATCATTTCATGAAGGCTTTCCATAGCATCACACGTTCTGGTGTTACTCTTAGCTCTCTACTCCTTGGTCATTTCCTGGCTTCTTCTCAATCTGACCCTTAAATGGTGAGAGTACCTCAGGACTCTCTCCCAAGCCTTGGGCTCCACTCACTCCCTAGACAGATGGCATTTGTATGCAGAATTCCACTGACCAACACACTGCCATCTATTTAGCTGCCTGCTTGGCATCTCACCTTGTATACCTCGCAGGTGCCTCAAACCTTGTCCACAGCTGAATTCGTCATTTTCCCTCCACTCACCCACATACAACAACTGGCTCCTCTTCCAGTTTTCCCTCATCTAAATAACCGGTGCCACTATCTACTCAGCAGTCTAAATCAAAACCCTGGAAGTCATCGTGGCTCTCACACTCCATTATGGCAAGTCCAATGACTCACCATATCTTAACTACCCTAGCTTTTAAATATTTTGTGAATCTACCTCTCTTCTCCAAATTCACCACGTCCTCTAGCCATGCCTCTATCTTCTCTGGCTTGTATTCTTAGACTTACCTAGGCAGTCACCCTAGATCATCTTTGCCCCAGCCTACTTCTCCAAGCTCCCCATTCCTCACCTGTAATCCATTCCCCACACATCTAGAGTAGTCTTTTAAAACCACAAACTTAATCACCTTGCTCTACTGTCTGAAGCTTTCCATTTCTCTTAGAATAAAGCTCCCAGTCCTCAGGTTTATCACACATTCCATGGGCCCACCTCTTCCTCTCTATGCTCCAGACATACTGTCTTCTTTGGTTTCCCCCAAATACTTCATACTCCCATCCTGAGGCCTTTACACTTGTTATTTCCCCTGCATGGAACACTCCTCACTCTCATCACTAGGCCAATTCCTGATCCGTTCTTAGATCAGGGAGGCCTGGATTGTCTTCCTCTCCACTTAAATTAGTTTCCTTTTTTTAAAAAAGATTTTTAAAATTTATTTATTTTTGAGGGAGAGAGAGAGCACGAGCAGGGGAGAGGGGCAGAGGGAGAAGCAGACTCCCCACTGAGCAGGGAGCCGGATGTGGGACTCGATCCCAGGACCCTAGGATCTTGACCTGAGCCAAAGGCAGACACTTAACTGACTAAGCCACCCAGGCGCCCCTTAAATTAGCTTCCTCAGGTTTACAGTAACACCATACTTCCCTGTTGTAGTCATCATAACACATTATCTTCAGTATCTGTATTTTCTTGTCAATGTTAAGCTCTACAAGAGCTTGTTTGTTCACTCAACAAATAGTCATTGGCAGCCTTCTCTGTGCAGAGCACTGTGAGGCATTGGCTCTGTAGCAATGAACAAACCCACAAGCTCATTGTCTTCTTGGATTTACATCTGCAGGAGAGAGACAATGAGCAAAACAGGCATGTGTGCACACATGTATAACCACACATGTAAATAAATTACCACCTGCAAAGTTCTATAAAGGAAACCATAGAATGCCATGAACAACAACAACAATGGAGATCTAACTAAGCTAGGTGGAAAGCACTCTCTGAAAAGGTAACATTTTAGATGAGACCTAAAAGATA